GGAAGAGATTTCAAAAATTTCATTGTTTTTTGAACTAGAATCAAACACTTATGAACTTCGCGATTCTCTTTTATTTGATTCATCATAGGATCAGGAATTCATTCATGGAATATATAGTGTGCTCTTGCACTATAGGGTATAAACCTCGTCAAAATATTCTCAAGTAGCCGTACGGCCATTTCTATGTGCCTATAGAGTTTGAATGGATAAACCAAATCGCATTAGGATGGACGATCCACAAAGCAAAAATCTGCAGTCGGAGTGCCCACGCTTTAAGCCGATACAATAGAAGTTTTGTTTGTTTGCAAATAAGCAGTCCGAGACGTAAAGTTCAAAAGATGCAGATGTTATAATTTCGTCAGAACAAAAATATAAAATCATTCACATAAGGTTATCTACCCTCTATCTGGAAGCTATGAAAGCCTATACCTTGAAACTCGACTTTATCATGTCTCTATCACAGGTTTTTCGTGTTTTAGGTCAACTGATTTGTTACAGTCACTAGATGTCTTCAAGTGATTAGTTGACCCCCTCCCCTCCCTTCCTTTTTTCATATTCTTTCTTCGCAAACAGTTAAGAGTACTTCAAATTGACTAATCGATCACTGATTGGCAGAATACACAAGTCGTCCAGTAGAAGCCGTGCTTAGAAAGAAATAACAAAGTACTGTATCGGTAATTCAAGCCAATGTCTCCTGACAGCACTTAATGGGAAAGATGGATAAAAGCGATGGGAGAGGGGAAAAACAATGAAGCAGTCTGTTGTTAAAGGAAGTAAGGGTAAGACTTAAAAACTTCCTCAAAGACTTTCGCCCACGCCATTTTTTAGGAGAGCTTAGATACTGATAAATATACAGTCCTGAATCCTGCTGATAAAGAAATAAGGAATCTAGCCGCTCTTTGTGCGAAATGCTAACACAACCTTCTAATATGATAAACTACTCCGCCTACGATAAGTGCACTACACAAGTGTTGATTGCTGTACGAGTGTTTCGTTGTCAAATTTTAGCTTACCGTATAATTTTTGGGATTGTAAATAGCTTGGCAAAGCGAGTACAAGAACAAAGAAGCTAAAGCACTAACTCTGGAACCGTAAGAACGATAAATTTCTAGTTTAGATCAATTTGGTAGTCGCCACCCAAACAACAACGAATTTAGAATATTTATTCTCCATTATAGATGTACTGTCATAGTCTCTAAGAAGGCCTAGTAACAAGGTTCTGCAGTATTTCAAGATAATGTGAGCATCCGCATTACCGGACTGTCTATAATACCGCAGTATTCGAAATATGAATACAAACAAAATAAATATAAATACAAATACCCTTTAATAAACTCATTATCCGCTTTCATCGCACACTTGCAAGCGAGCACAGGGTGTCCCAAAACCGCATTGTTCCAAATATATTTTATTCGAACTTGTCTCGTGTACCGTGAGGTTCCATACTAAAGTTGGCTTTGCATACTGCGAAAGTTAGCACTTATCGCTGTTACGCCGAGCGCAGATATAAAATAAAAAAGACCTCGTAGAATGATGATAAATGTGAGAAACGCAACATTTGGTCTCCCTTCCCCCTCCCCAATTTGCATGTTTCAAATGCGTTTGTGACCACCTTGTACTGCTCAAGCAGAGCGGTAGAGAGCGGAAAACAGAAACTAACAATTTTTTTTAGCTTGAGTGAGGCTGGCTGAATTTGCGTTAACTACAGCAGTTAAGATTTTGAGTGATGTAAAGTGCTGCAAGCTATGAAATAAAATTTGAAACTTACAGCTTCGCAGAATTCTTATGCTTTTGCGAAGTATGAGTCTCTGTCAAGGAGGCAGTGCTGACCTTGTGCTACCTCCCATGAATTGAACAAAGTCTTCAAAGTACGTGGAACAAAGAGTGACTACATTTTCTTACATGAGTAGCACTCTTAAAACTTTTTCGAGCTTTAGATTGTTCCTTGCTTCTCAAATGATTACTCGGACGTAGTATGAGTGGATGTGTAAGGAAAACTCGCTGTACACCAACAATTTTGAATGACAACAAATTTTATTCTCACATCATTTGGGATTTTCCGAGGTTTCACCCGCAGGACACATCTGCTCTCGAATGGATTATCTCACCATTTCATGTCACTGCTTTGTGATGTCTAAAACAGATAAGCTTTTTGTTCGCCAACTCAATGTGAATTGTCCATGTGTGTTCAGCGCTGTTTCCATCTATAAATTATTCTAACAAATGATGAATATCTCATCGTCAGACCCACATTGTTGCCTTGTAGGTGGCTCACTTTTGTATTTTATGCTGTGCTTGCTTATCTTTTGCTAAAACATCTCCCTTTGGAAACTGACTGCGCATTACCTCTCATAGCCACGATTCGCTTACCCGTCACAGCGCTGGGAAAATTTCCATCTACCTTTGTGTCGGCATCCTTTGATTAGATGTAACCCAAGGTCTTTTCCAGCTGAGCAAGAAAACATCTGTCGAGGAATGTGAATGTGCTGCGGTGCAGAAATCGAGCGATTCAAACAAAGTAATAGACATGATGTAATTCATGAGCACTACTGGTCTCACAATTTTGCAGTTAGTCTTCCATGAGATTCCCCTTTAGAAGTACAATGCAAATGGGTCAGGAACGATTGGGACCACGAGGGATGAACACCCTTGTCGTGGAAAAAAGGCTGATTGAACACGCTCTAGCCTTCCTCAAACCACAAGAAGTTGCGAAGAAATCCTCTTGTGCTACTAATCAAAGGATTAGGAAAGGGAAAAACCCAAATGGAATTTAGTGGGCCAAGACTTCCAGAATACTCTCGAAGGTTAAGGTGACCTACACTACTACAAAAAAAACATTGAAGATAAGTTCTGTTGCACTTTCGAGGAAAATTTAGCAAACCCACAAATTGCCTAAGACAATTTGGAAAGATTGCTGATGATTGCTGAGAAAAACAAATATGAATCGGCCAGCTGTTTGCATAAAAGGCCACTTTGCATGATTCTAGTCATAATCTATCTTTACGTTTTCTTGGCATTCCTGAGTGATTGCCATTTCGAAATTGTCCAAATAAGGCGTAGAATAAATGACTGACAGACAAACATTGCAAATATGTTCATACAATACAACCAGGGCTCGGCAGAAGTGGCTTTAAGTAAGCTGAATATCGTTCCTGGGACAAAAAGCAAAAGGATATAGTTTCCGTGCGCCCGAAATTAGGTTTTTCTCAGTCGACTTTTCGTTGTTTTTGACGATTCGAAACCTCCTGTCGAGCCCTGACTACAACCAAATTATGCCTGTCTTATAGTGCTATGTACCCGAACAGAATGTAAAAGAATACAAACACTTCCAGAATAGAATATCTCATTAGCAATAATTGAAAAACTTTATCAACTTCACAGGGGGGATCTGCATATACAATCCGAATGAATGACGACAATTGGCGAACGCGGAGTGATCATCGACAAGAATTGATGTAGGTTTTTCCGTTGTCAGAATTTGTCTCATGCCAGTAGTACATGAAATTATGCGACGTGTGCATCTGCGACGTCTTCGTGATTATCCCAAGGTAAGAGCAATGCCAGCGAATCCCAAGAGAATTTCGAAAAAGCTAAAGCGTGTCGACTTGCCGAATAACAATCTTATGATACGGCTGACACATTAGAGCGATTGGCACAAGTGGCATCTAAACGATATTAATTGAATATTTCTTTTATACATCAAATAACAATTGCTGACCTCAGATGGAATCTCTGCCTCGCCTTCAGGTGATGTGAGAAACAATGCGTAATCTCCATCTGGCTCCTTTCTGTTCATACACAGCAGAATGTCTTCTACTTCACGGCATGTGGTTTCTTCGGCTAGTAACAACGACTTGTAATTCGACTGAAAATGTTTTCTTCCTCCGATGTTTTCTGCTGCATGTTTTCATAGCAATCATTTGAGATAATCGCTAGAGTTAACCTTCGGCCCGGGATTACCCAGAGATAAGAGCGGATTATTTCCAAATGAGGACCAGTTTCTCGCTTATGGCTTACAACCGCCCTTATTCGGCCATTACTGAAACACTGAATGTCTCGTATTTAGTCTTAACAGTAACGACTGCATGCCTTTGCGTCACACTACCTCACGTTGCAGTTTTTAGTAAATCCATGATAAGCCTCAGATACTTTCTTAAAGAGATGCAAGACAAAAAACTTCTTCAAATATATTGACTTGAGACAGCGCTCCACGAGAATTTGATGCCTTCTCCCTAGATGGAAGGGAAGGTTTGGAGAAGTACCAACTTCCGAATCAGATAACTTTTGCAAAGGTGATTTGGGCTTTGAAAAACTTAAAAAATTATCTTGGTTTTTAGAAGAGCGAGCCATTCACACAATTTCTGTAATTCGTGTGGACTAAGTTATTGTGATACATTGCTCGAGAAATTTCCTGCTCCCCCTCTCCTCTGATCCTCCCCTTCCAAGGCCCTCTCTGTTCTTTAGCTTTAGCTACTGGATATAAAGCTGCGAATCTGGCGTCGAGATTATACGAAGCATGAACGAAGCATAACAGCTGCATAGCTTGGGTTTGGAATGCCAGCTTCGTGATGCGCTTCATCCGGATTTTGTCCCTTTTTGGTGACCAATATTGACGGAAGTAGCTGCACCTGCGCGCTCGTTAGCAAAAGAACGATTTATAAACTCCGTAAGTTAACTTCCCATAAACACATTCCCAGATGGATAACAGCTAGTTGCTAGCCTACACCATGGTTGTGAACCAAATCGCATTAGAATAGACTTGTTCCGCAAACCGAAAAAAGCCCGCAAATGGAGCATTCACGTCCCGCTAACCAAAGCATGGACTTTGCTTTGAATAAACAGCTTAGGAAGTTCAGGTCAAGAAGAGGAGTATGAATTGTGAGCGCTCCAAAGATGACAGCAAACTAGTTAATGCTTCTTACACATTCAAATATAACCCCTTTTAGATGCGCGAAGGTTTAACGTTCAGAGCAAAAAATTTAAAGCAGCAAGGAACTAACCTGAGGAGAAATGCTATGATCGTGTACTCTGACGAGGGTCCCCTCGGAATTCATATGGAGCATAAATCGTGACATATTCGACGGATGGCACCTAGGATAAGCTATAGAGAAAATTGTTGAGATTCTACTTCGACACTCACCTTTGCAATTCGAGCGGTCTAGCTAAGTGATCTAGCCTCAGAACTGTCCTCACAGCTTTACCACTGGCTTTAGTAGTAACCTGAGTAAACAGTTCGTCATGCGTACGGTACCACAATGAGAACGCTTACCTCCATCCATAACTCAAACAAATTCGTGTCCCTGCACGAAATCTTAAATTTGCCGAGCACGGTCTCAATCACAGACCGTGTCGTGCTCTGGGTGGAAACCCGAATTGTTTTGTAGTCAGTGCACGCCTTCACATTATTCGTGTAGATTCTAAGCGTTCCCTGAAGGACAGCAACGGGTTAGTGTCAATTCTAATTTGAATAATTCTCAAGAAGTGGCAGGCGAGCACACCAAGGCAAGACCTTGCAAATCTTCCCATCTGTCTTAATCCGAAAATCCCCTTACCCAGTCACTTTCGGAATTCGCGCTGTCCACCGAACTCAGCGACGCCAGCGAGCTGCTTCTGCTTGTCAGTGTAGTGTCGTGGGTCGACGACGAAGGGCTACCATAGACGGAAGACCGACTGGTGGTTCTCACTTGATACTTGAGCATTGTCTGTAAAAGATACATTAGATGAGAGGGGCAGGCAAATTTCGTTAGATTCTGAGTGAAGCTAACATGTAAATAACATTGACGGAGAATGAATAATACAAGAAGGAGCTTCAGGTACAGTGGAAAGGACCGCTTTGCATATTCCAAAAATGACAAGTTGCCAAGGAAGGATGATCATAACATTGACAGCGAAGGAGAAAATTCTTCAAAAATCTTTATTAATTGTTAGGATAATTAAGTATCTGCCAAGTGACAAAAAACGCTAAATTTGACACCAGGGACGAAGGCTTGGGTTGTCAGCAGGCATGTTGGTACTGAAAGAAAGATCAAAGAGAAGGATCGGAAAATTGTAGATAACGGATCTGTCCTGTGCAATGGCGATCTATAGGCTGGCGAGCCTAATTAAACAAAAGCACTAAGCGTTCTTTCTCTGAATTTCAAGTAGAAATGATCTTAGAGAGTAAATGAGTGTTTCTGTTCGTCTTAGCTTAGTTTCAAAATCTTATAGTCTTTTGGATTGAAAAGACACAAAATTGGTACCTGTAACATTCCAAATGATTTTATAAACGGAAGAAAAAAAAACAAGAATGAAGTTCAGTCTTTCGATGGCAAGTTTTCCAAGTGGAAAGCAATGATACGATCAGTTAAAAGAACGAATTCTATAAATCTTGTGAATATTTGAGTTAGTAGGAAATGCATAAACCTTCTTCAGATCAGAGAGTGACCTGAGAATGAGTCGCTACTAAGCAAACTCAGCAAAGCTATTCATATGCCTATTGTTCCAGCAAGGGATCAGTACAGTGAAAGGCTTGCGCCATGCCAAAGGCCATTGCCCAGCCGGTTGAAAGGGACTTGGTGAAAAGTGGCTACTTTGTGAAGATCTAAGAGGATAATGCTAACCGCAGCGCAGAAAGAGATCGGATCGGGCTTGGCTCGCCAACTGGCAAAATAAGCTGAGAATGATGTAAATTACTGTTGCATAAATTTGTAGAGGTGCTAAAAAATACTATTATAGTATCTTACGTTCCATTCTGGGCTGAAAACTTGAAGACTAATATTAGGTTGGAAAGAAAAGAATGACGTTTTTTGTAGCAAAGCAATAAGATAGATCCAAAAAAATCTGTGAGGGGTATATACGGGGTATATACCGCTCGATCGAGCAAAGGAAGCTCTACAATCTGACCCTTGAACATTGCCAGAAAGTAATTTACACAAAGTTCAAAGCCAAAATAAGAGCAACCCTAATTCTAGAAATCGGATATTTGCCCGAAAAATTCCTGCAATCCTCTCACTTGCTCCTGCTTAAACTGACACATGCAGTTATCCATAGGTACACTTGCTATAATTTTTTCATGCTTAGAAATCAAGAAAAAACTGCAAAGAAAATGGCAAACTCCTTCCCCAGTGGTCCTGAGCTTCTCCCGTATATGGCAGTTTAAACTACAAATCTTTGAGACATTGACCATAAAATTTCGGCCTTGAACATGAGTCAGTTCTTAATAAATATCAATTATAGCGCAAAAAATTCGAAAAAAGCGACATTCTTTTCTCTCCAACCCAATATTTTGCAAAGTAATGCAGAAAAACCTAGAAATAACTCCAAAAAGAAGCACAAAAACAAAAATATTTTGCTACTACTTACTACAAAAAAACCGCTAATGATTCAATAAGAAATGAGCCATGTAAACGGATCAACAAACAGTGAACATCAAACAGCCAAATTTGAAATATGACAATAGTGGTGCATAATCTTGAGCAAAAAAAGCAATAAAGGAAGGCATTGTAGTTACACGAGTTATAACCAGAGAAAAGCAAGAGAACATGCAAAGAAACGTGATGCAAGCAAAATGGCCCAACGTATAGTTTTTTCACTAAACTTCTCCAGTTTTTGCCACACAAAACTATCATAAAATAGCTCGAGACCAAATGACAGGCAGCAGACGTGGTCTGATCTGGCACGATCGAGAGGGCGGGACAATCGAGTGGGCGGTCCGCGGGAAGATTAGGAAATGTTGACATCAGCACTCGAGATCAGAAGGTTAAAAGCTCGTTTTTTTTGGATGGGGTAGATGTACTATATAATTCCGGGAGCTTTCTTTCTTGCAAGCGAGCAACTTCCGTTTCGTACTTCCTCCAAACAAATCCGAGGTACCCTTGAAGTACTGCAAATTACGGCGACGTTGCAATTTACAATTCTCGCATCGCTGTAAGTGTACAAGGGAACAGAGGAAACTTGAAATTGTTTTTGTTGGAGAAGCGCAGTGCTTGTGTTCTTCGCAGTGTTCTGCATTTACTTGAAAGCATGAATACCAGGCTAAAAACCAAACATGCTGCTAAAATCAGCTATGATCATAGATCAGTGACAAACAGTCATAACAGCTACGCAAACCTTGTCAAAACCTTAGTTTCCGCCGAACAGGCTGAACTAACACGAGAACCAACTGCGCGGTAAAACTATCACTTACGTTATTGTGTCTCACTTTCCTCACTTTCCTCACTTTCCTCACTTTATACGTGTCCTAATTTTCGATGCAAAATGCTTTATCGAGCAAAGAATATCGAAGGAGGACTCGTTCCTTCTAATAATAAGAACAACCCGGGACATACTGAAGCACAATACATCGAATGGACAAGGCTAAGTGTGAATCTCATATGAAATGCAATAAACATATGAGTAGGAAAAATCAATCAGATAACTAATCTGTGTCACTTTTAGCTACGGTATAGAACCTCGATTACCCCACAAACGCAGTTTAATGAGCAGTTGTGATAGGACGCAAATAGTAGTACTAGTCATCACCTAAGAATTGATGAAATAATGCTAAGAAGTGCTTAAGTAGTAAAAGAAGGATTACTATTTTGCAAGTAAGAAGCAACAGAAAGTGCGTTGAGCAAAGCACATCCAATTCTTTCATTAATGATACTGAATGAAAAATGCTAGTTCTGAAAGTGTAATCATCCCCAACTTCTTTAAAGCCAAAATGCATGGCTCAGCAAGTTCGTATACAGATAGAGCACAGTTTCCACTTTGAATAGTGGTGGATGGGAGAAGTATGCCTATAAGAAAAAAAGACGAAAGTGAAATAAGACTTTGCATAGTGACTGGATATCAATAAGGCAAATAGTTACTACATACAGAACACGAGAAATGCTGAAGATGTAACAGAGTTGGAAGCAATCCACAGAGCTTTTAGTTTCTCGTAACAGCTTATAAAGCGATGTAGAGGAAGCAGCTCGCTCAAGGACCCAGAAAATAGGAGTTTAATAACTCTCAAAAGCCCATTTTCCCGCTTTTCGCTCGGTTGTTTATTGTAAATTCGTCTATTTCGTAGACGGAAAGATAATGCATGATATTGCGAAACGCATAAACTTGCAATAAAAACGACTTAACGTTTTTTTTGACAACATCATCGCTTATCTCCACGTCTTTTGACAGCTGAATTTGATTATGAATCGTTCCAATGTGTTGTTGTCGATCTCTCCCAAGATGGTGGATGTGTAGTAAATTTAATTCCGGGGGAAGTTGAAGAGTATGCATTGTCAGTAAAGTATCAAAATACAGGAGCAAATTTGATTGCTGCTATTGGTGGCCCTAAATGACCCGAAGGCATCATCTAATTGAAACAGTGTATATTAGCCAGTCATAACCCCAAACCACTTGTAACAGTTGTAAATCGCTGTTGTTACCTCCAGCATGGGAACTAATGCAGGTCTGATAGCAGCCAATAAACGGAGAATAAAGTCGGAAGGATGTTTAGGACTTTTTTTTGAACTTTGAAGGGGATTTTTTCTCTGCCTCAACGCTGAGCAACCTTTGAGAATTTCTAGCACACGATTATTTCGCTATTTTTCGCTAAAATTAGAGAAATTAGAAAATTTAGAAAAAGCTCAGTATAGTATACTATTCCGGCGGAAAAGACGCGGATGTTGTAATAAGCGTTTAACCTAGACAAACAGTGCTTGCTATCCAAAAAAAGATTTCTTTCCGCAAACTGGTGTCAGTGAAGGGAAGTTGGTGACTTTTGCGAAGAGATAGCCAGACTTCGTTGCTAAAAATCTGTAGTTGAAATCCCGGCGCTAGTCTATAGCCAAAATGCGCGGATGTTTGACATTCAGAGCAAAAAATCTAATCAAAGCAACAAGGAACTAACCTGGGGTGAAATGTTATGATCATGTACTCTGACGAGGGTCCCCTCGGAATTCATATGGAGCATAAATCGCGACATATGTGACGGGTGACACCTAAAAATAATACTTTTTATTTTTAGGTGTCACCCGTCGAATAGTGATTGAAATTTCACTTCAACAATCACCTTTGCAATTCGAGCGGTCTAGCTAAGTGATCCAGCCTCAGAATTGTCCTCACAGCCTTACCATTAGCTTTGGTAGTAACCTGAGAAAACATTCGTCATGCAGCGGTACCACACTGAAAACGCTTACCTCCATCCATAACTCAAACAAATTCGTGTCCCTGCACGAAATCTTGAATTTACTGAGCACGGTCTCAATTACGGATCGTGTTGTGCTTTGTGTCGAAATCCGAATAGTCTTGTAGTCAGTGCACGCCTTCACATTATTTGTGTAGACTTTCAGTGTTCCCTGAAGGATAGCAAGTGTCACTTCTAATTTGAATAATCCTCAAGAAGTGGCAGGCGAGCACACCAAGGCAGAATTCTGCAAATCTTCTCGTCTTGCTTAATCCGAAAATCTCCTTACCCAGTCGCTCTCGGAATTTGCGCTGTCCACCGAATTCAGCGACGCCAGCGAGCTGCTTCTGCTTGTCAGTGTAGTGTCGTCGGTCGAGGAAGAAGGACTGCCATAGGCTGAAGGGCGACTGCTGGTTCTCACTTGGTACTTGAGCATCGCCTGTAAAAGAGTTCGATAGGGGAGGCAAGATCGTTTGATTCCGCTAAAATATGGACGCATCAAAGGCGAATGAAAAGAAAAGTTGCAAGAAGGAACTTAGTGTACAGTGGAGAAGACCGCTTTTCTTGCACTTTTGAAAATGAGAAGATGCCGAGGACGGATGGACATAACATCGACAACGAAGGAAAAAAATTCTTCAAAATTTTTGGCGGTAAATCAATAGTATAACTGAGCATTTGCCAAGTGACAAAAAACGCTACATTTGAAATAGAAAAGAAGGCTTGCGTTCTCAACGGTCAGTCTAATATTAAAAGAAAGATCAAAGAGAAAAAAATGAAATTGTAGAAAACAGATTTGTCTGTAAGGCCCCGGTCAGACTTCACGCGACTTAATCGTCGCGAAATCGCCAAAATTCCATTCATTTTCATTTCACATTCAAAAATTTCGGGCTGGAGAAGTATCACAATCGAATGCAAGTTGATCAGCATGGAATGATGTTGTAACAATTGTCTCGTCGCGACCCAGTCGCGACGATCAAATCGCGTGAAGTCTGCCCGGGGCCTAAGGGCGATCTATGGTAGCGAGCCTGATGAAACTAAAACACTGACCGTACCTTTCTATTAATTTTGAAGTATTACTAATATTATAAAGGGTAAATGAGCATTTCTGATTGTCTTCATTAGATTTTCAAGTTATCATGCCTAAGTTAGGATTTATAGACACAGATTAGTACCTAGAGCTTTCCTTTTGATGCGACTCTTTACAAATGCAAGAAATACAAGATAACAAAGTGGTGTTCCGATGGCAAGGTTTTCAAGTGGAAAGCGTACACGATCAAAAAAATGAATTCTATAAATCTTGTAAATATTTGAGTAAGTAGGACGATAAATATGTAGATCTTCTTTAGATCAGAGTGTGACATGATGAGTCGCCACTAAACAAACTCAGCAAAGATATTCATATGCCCCTATTGTCTCAGCAATGGATCAGTACAGTAAAAGGCTTGCGCCATGCCAAAGGCCATTGCCCAGCCGGTTGAAAGGGACTCGATGACAAGTGGCTATTTGTGAAGATCTAACAAGGAGAGGATACTTAGTCGAAAGCACCAATCCAGATGAGACATATATCATCTCAAAGCGCTTGAAACGCTGTTTTCAAATCTGCAGTTTCTAGCTGCGGAGCGGTTTTGTAGAAGGAGTTATAAAGGGTGTTCCTCTCTAGGGTTTGCGCCCTCCAGTATAATCTTTACTGTAATCTTCATTCAAGTTACTTACCATTGGGTCAGCTGCCCTCTGCGATGGCAACTGACCTAATGGTAAGTAACTTGAATGAAGATTACAGTAAAGATTATAATAGTCGTAATACTTTGGTTTTTTAACACTTCTAACTTCGATCAGTATCAATATCATTAGAAGTTTCGTGTTTTAGGGCTCTAAAGCCATCTAGAAGTTCAATTTAGCATGCGAAGGGGATAAAACCTTGACACTCTCTTTATCAAGCACATCACTTACCACTAGGTCAGTTGCCACCAGCTGGTACTCCTCTACAGAGCTCATAGGTAGGGGGAGACTGAAGACGTATAATGCTGACCGCAACGCTGGAAGGGATTCGGATCACGCTTGGTTCACCAATAATGGCAAAATGATCCGAAAATGATATGTATTCTTGTATAAATCTATAGAAGCACGAAAAATTACTAGTGTCTACCGTTCGATTTTAGGCTGAAAATTTGAAGACTAATATTAGGTATGATCTTCTGTCTCCGGAGTAATTCTTGTATGATGAGTACCATTTGATAGAGCAAAAGAAGTCTACGACCTGACCCTTGAACATTGCCAGAAAGCGATTTACTCAAAGTTTGGAGCCAAAAAATGAGAGCAATTCATAATGCCAAAAATCAGGTATTTTTCCGTGCTATATCAAGAAAAAATTGAAATGAAAATGGCAGACTCCGCTACATATTTTGCAAGTAGATTCAAGAATACCTAGAAAAGCATAACAAGTATAAAATAACGAAGCACGAAAACAAAAATATTTTGCTGCTACTCACTTCAAAAAATCGCTAATGATTCACTGAGAAATGAGCCAAGTAAACTGAACAATAGATATAGTAGGCAACAGAGAGCCAAAAATTTCAGAGTACATTTGTACAACAGTGGTGTATGAGGTTTGCGCCGGAAAGCAAGAAGGCATTTTTAGTCATATAAGTTATAACCAGAGAAAAGCAAGATATGCAAAGAGACGTGAGCGAGCAAATGGCTCAACGTATCGTGGTTTTCCACTTAACTTCGTCGATTTCTGCCACACAAACTATCATAAAATAGCTTGAGACCAAATGACATGCAGCAGAAATGGTTTGATGCGGCACGATCGAGAGGGTGGGACAATCGGATGGGCGGTCCGCGGGAAGATTAGGGAATGTTGACACAGCATTCGAGACCATTAGGTATAAACTCGTTCTTTTTTGGATGGGGTAGATATACTAGGAAATTCTGGGAGATTTACCATGTACCATGCTACTTTTCTTGCAAGCGAGCAACTTCCTCTTCGTACATTCCACCAGACAAATCCAAGATGCGCTTGGAGTACTGCCATTTAAGGCGACGTTGCAATTTACAATTCTCGCTTCGCTGGAAGCGCACAAGGAAACAGAGAAACCTTGAGATTCTTTTTTTAGAGGATAAGCGTAGTGTTTTTCATTTACTTGAGTGCTAAAAATACCAGGTTAAAAACCAAAATTATGCTAAAATTAGTCATGGGCATAGATCAGTGACAAACAATAAAGCAGTTATGCAAACCTTGTCAATCCTTGGACCTGCCGAACTGCCTGAACTAACACAAAAACCGCGCGGTGCACCTGTCATTATTATTGTACTCCTTTTCCCTAAATTATAGACTTGCAAATTGGCAGCAAAGTTTACCAAAAAGGGAATCTTTATCGGAAACAGATCTGCTACTCCCAAGAATAATCAACAAAATGAGACGTAACGAATTCCTAATACATCGAATGTGACAAGGCTGAGTGTGAACCTCACATGAAATGCAATAACTATAACTATATGAATAGGAAAAACCTGATAACTAATCTGTGTCACTTTTTGCTACAGTCACTAGAACCTCGATTATTTTACAGACGCAGTCTAATGAGCAATAGTGAAAGAACATAAATCATGGTACTATTTCATCACCTAAGAAGTGATGAAATAGTAGTAAGAAGTGCCTTAGTAAAAGAAGGATTGCTATTTTGCAAGCAAGAAGAAACAGATAGTGCGCTGGAGCAAAGCACATTCAATTTTTTTATATTTGGCAAATGAAGACAGCTTGCTTTGGCTACTGTGGCTTCATTCTCTCTTGGTTAAAGCCCAGACGAGAATGGTATAGTAAGTTCGTACCATAATTAGAAACACGATCTCCAGTTTGAATTGACACGGATGGAAGGAAGCATGCCTAGTTCAAAAAAGTGTGCTAGTAGGATAAAATAAGAATAAACATACAACAAGAGATGTCATAGCGTGCAGACATCAATAGGGTAGATGGTTACCGCGGATAGCACGAAAATGCTGAAGACGTGGATGAAGCAGCTCTCTCGAGGATCCAGAGCATAGGATTTCAACATTTCTCAAAAACCCATTTTTAGGCTTCTCACTATGCTATTTATTGTGAATTCGTTTATTTCGCGAGGGAAAGATAATGCATGACATTGCGAAACGCATAAATTCGCAATAAAAACGACTTAACATTTTTTGACGATGGCATCGCTTATCTCCACGTTCTCTGACAGCTGAATTTGATTATGATCTTATCGCCCCAAAGTTGTTGCTGATCTCTCTCAAAATGGTGGATGTGTAGTAAAACTTACTTCTGAGGGAAGTTGACAAATATGCATTACTAGCAAAAGATAGGAGCAAAACTTGATCGCTGTATTGGTAGCCCTAAATGACCAGAAGGCATTATATAATCGAAACAGCGTATATTAGCCAGTCATAACCCCTAACCACTTGTAACAGCTGTAAATCGCTGTTGTTACCTCCAGCATGAGAACTAATGCAGGTGTGATAACAGCTATAAACGGAGAGAAAGTTGGAAGGACGTTCAGGGATATCGTAAGCTTGTTTGAAAGAATTTCTTTCTCTACCTCAACGGCAGCAATCTTGAAAAGGAGTTAATACCACTATGCTTATTCCGAAAATTTCGATAAATCATTAGATAAGTCTCAGTATACTATTTCGGCAGAACAGACGCGGATGCTGTAATAATGCTGTGATCTAGACAAACATCAATTCTCGCTATGCAAAAGAAAGAATTTTTTTGCAAACTGGCGTCAGTGAAGGGAAGTTGACTGAAATTTTATCAAATAAGAAATTATCGGACTTCGTTACCAAAAATCTGTAGATGAACTCCCGGTGCTATCTATAGCGTTACCAAAAATCTGTAGATGAACTCCCGGTGCTACCTACAGCCTGAACATGACTCTAGTTTGGTTACATTCACAATACATTGCGTCTTTTTATAACGGCACTTCAAAATTGCAACGAGGAATGCAGTGCAAACAAAGCGTTTTCTTTGTTACTGTGTCAAATGTGGAGAAAACCAGCTGTCCGGGTAATGGCAGGCTGGGTTCCCTCTCATCCGCATGAACAAAAGTGTTAGGAAGACGCCGGAATAAACTATCAAAGAAGTTTGTTAAAGTGCAAAATTTCGAATATCTTTATTACTTAAAACCATGGGCCGGACAACGCTCTGTACTTAGGATCCTATTACTAAATCAAGAGAGGGTTGAGTAAGCAAAATAGTTTTAGTGACCTATTGGTTGTCGCAGGATTCTCCAATAAGACTGAAAGTGAGGGAAATAAATATGGAGAATTCTGGCTCAAAGTGCTCAAACCGAGATGTTGATGTCAAGGAGTGCTAGAGAGATTCCGCTTCACAAGTGGCCAGCATTTTCTCGCTTGCACTCGCTGTCAGCAGCTGAACCAGTTTCAGGAGAGGGCATTGAGAGAAAAACTGATTTGCAAGGATTCCATTACTGAAAAGAAGAGTGCATGCCACTGAGCACGAGAATGTTAGAAACAAGTGCGTAACTACATATATAGATGCATGCGGTTCTTCCATGCATAATTTCTTTTTCGAAATTAGAATTTACTCAGATGTTCGTCCCAAATTTTGCTTCTCAATGCGATACGCATAAGGTTTTACGGAACATGCACGATGCGAAGAACATTGTAAACTCACATCCACAGAAAATTTTTGCTTGGAATAAGCAGTTTTTTCACTAGGCGTGGTCGGAATCTCACAAATCAGAAGAAACACGGATTTGACTGTCAAATAAAAGATCCATAAGCGATCTTGTCAGAAGAGATCCGAAAAATTTCATTGTTTTTTTTTTGAACTAGAATCTCTATCTGAACACTCGTGAATTTCACTGTTCTCTTTTATTTGACTCATAATATATAGTGCTGGGCACTGAAGAGTATGCAAACCCCTCGTCAAAATATTTTTAAGCCGTACGGCTAGTTCTATGCGCCAAAAGAGTTCGAATGGATAAACCAAATCGCATTAGGATGGAAGTTCCACAAAGCGAAAAAATCTCAGTTGGAGTGCCCACGCTTTAAGCCGATTCAATAGAAAGTTTTGTTTGTTTGCAAATTAGCAGTCCGAGATGTAAAGGTCAAAAGATGATTTTATATTTTCTCCACATCATCATAAACTTATTCACATGAGGTTCACCTCTATCTGGAAACTAAGGAAAGGTTATGCTTTGAATCACGACTTTATCATGTACTCTATTGTGGATCGCTCGTGTTATAGGTTAGTTGATTTGTTACGATCACCAAGTGTCTTCTAGTAATTCATTTACTCCCCTTTTTTCCTCATTTTCTACTCGTAGGAATTTAAGAGTACTGCACAATTTTTCTACTCGTAGGCAGTTAAGAGTATGTAGAATAATTCTTGAACACTTTACGCTAAGAAAAACATAGGAACGTACAGCGTACAGTCGTCAAATATTAGCTTACCGTATAATTTTCAGGATTGTACTGGCTTGGTAAGGCGAGTACAAGAACAAGGAGGCTAAAACATCAACTCTGGAACTATGAGAAAAAAACGATTAATTTCTAGTTTTTTCAATCGATTTTGGTAGTCGTCAACCAAAAAACAACGAATTTAGAGTTTTTCTCTTTGATGGATGTACTGTCATAGTCTCTGAGAAGGCCCACAAACAAGGTTCTGCTATATTTCAGACTAGCATTAGCAACCGCACTGTCCGGCTATCAATAACACCGCAAAATTCGAAGTGTAACTACATAAACCCTTTGACAAACTCCTCGTCCGCTCCCAATGCTTTGTATCCGAATTCAAAAAAACCAAGCAAAATGGTGTCCCAGAACAAGCACTGTTCCAATCATATTTGACGAACTTGTTTCGTCGACTGTGGGGTACCATACTAAAAAGGGAAGCGTGTATAGTCGAAGTGGTCCTTTCAGATGAAACCCACACTGCTTCAAAGACACAGGACTCCAAATCTGCCTCCATTATCTGCCAAGCGCCTCTGGACACTGAGTTATGGCCGTTTCTCGGGGTCAAATGGAACGCAAAACTGGAGTAAAATCGCCCAAATTTGCTTAAATGGTCCTATGTCGAGTACCAGACCAGTTCATGCAATGGATACATTGTTTAGTATGCTAATGCTCAACACTGCTTTATCTGAGCGCTGAAGAGATTGTGTCAAATGTTTATACCTAAATTCTGCATTCATTTTCCGTTCCAAAAGACGGTCATAACTTCGCGTCCAGAGGCGCTTGGCAGACAATGAAGGCACATTTGTAGCCACCGTGCAATGCTCTTCGGTGGTATGAGTCTCATTTAGCCAATTCGACTAAACACGCTTTCCTTGTAAGTTCTGGCTTCTGCTTTGCTGAAAGTAGCACCCATTGCTGTCACGCCGAGCGGTTATAAAGTAAGAAAAGACCTCGTAGAATGGTGGTAAATGTGAGAACGCAAAAGAGTTCTGTTCCCCCTCCCCCCTGCATGTTTGTAAATGCGCTTCTGATCACCTTGGGCTCCTAAGCAAGGGTAGAGCAGGCAGGAAACAGAAATTAGAAAATTCTTTAGCTTGAGTGATGCTGTCTGACTTTTCGCCAACTATAGCATTTGAGATTTTGTGTAATGTGAAGTGCTGCTAGCTTCTCAATTCAAAATTTGAAAAACAACCGCAAATTTCATACGCTTTTGCGAAGGTTGAGGCTTTGCTAAAGTGGCAGTTCTGAACTTGTGCAAACTCCCATAAAGTGAACAGAATCTCCGAATCACATCATACGAAGAGCAACTATATGCTTATTTGGGCATATAGATGAAATGCAGAAATTTTCATCTGACTTTAGTGTCGGACTCTTTTGATAGACTGGGGTCCACGGTTTTTTCCAGAACAAGAAAACCTCTGTCGAGGAATGTGAATGTGCTGCGATGCAGATATCGACCGAATTAAATAACCTACTAGACATAGAATTCATGAGTACTAATGGTCTCATCATACTGCAGTTGTTTTTTCATGAGATTCCCTTGCAATTTCCTTCTTTTCAGGAGGAAATTGCAAGGATAGGGACAATTGAGATAACGACTGGGAATACGGGAATGAGCACCCTTGTAGGCTGGCTCATTGAACACGCCAAAGCCTTCCGTAAACTACAAGAAGTTGTGAATAAATCCTCTTGTGCTAGTAATCAAAGGATTAGAAAAAGGAAAAACCTAAGTGGGCTTTAGTGGGCAAAGACGTCCAGAGATCTGTTTTCGAAAAAGTGACCCACACTACTATAAAGAAAACTCTGATTTGGAATGGGGCAGTCAAAACAAATTCATCACTCAAAGATGAGTTTCGTTTTAATTTTGACATAAATTTGCCCAATACTTTCACAATTTGCAAAAGGCAATTTGAAAAGAATGCTGGATTGCTGAGAAAAAAAATTCGCATTGCATGAACTGCCTTTTTGCATGATTCTAGTCATAATCTAACTCTCACGTGTTCATGGCATTCCTCCGTGATTGCCATTTCGAAGTAATCTAATTTATGCATAAGATAAACGACGTCAAAAAGTTAGAAATGTTCTTAGGCACTACAAACAGGGCTCGGCACAGGTAGGTTTAAGCAAGCTGGATATCGTTTCTGGGACAAAAAGCAAAGGGGATATCGTTTTTGGGGGTCTGAAATTAGGTTTTTCTCCGACGTCTCGTTGTTTTAGTAGATTCGGATATTTCGGATAAGTTGAAGGGGACTTTGTTAAATTTTGCGAAGGTCAGGGGGGACTTCTTTTTTGCATTTTCGGAAAGCCTCGTGTCGAGCTTTGACTACGACCAAGTCATGCTAGTCGTATAGTGGTATGTAACCGAACAGAATGTAAAAAACACAAACACTTCCAAAATAGAATTTCTTATTAGCAATAATTGAAAAACCTTATCAACTTCACAGGGTGGGATCTGCATATACAATCCCAACGAATGACGACAATTGGCGAACGCGAAGTGATCTTTCAAGAATTGATGTAGGTTTTTCCGTTGTCAGAATTAGTCTCATGCCAGTAGTACATGAAATCGTGCGACATGTGCATCTTCTGCTACGTCTTCATGATTATCCCAAGGTAAGAGGAGCAATGCCAGCGAATACAAAAGGAAGTTCTTAGAGACTCAAAGCGTATCGACTTGTCGAATGACTATTTTGTGATACGACTGACACATGAGAGCGATTGGCACAAGTGGCACCTAAACGGAAATGATTTGTTTCTTTTATCCACCATATAACCGGTTACTGACCTCAAAAGGAATCTCTGCCTCGCCTTCAGGTGATGTGAGAAACAGTGCGTAGTCTCCATCTGGCTCCTTTCTGCTCATACACAGCAGAATGTCAACTACCTCATGGCATGTGGTTTCTTCGGCCAGTAACAGCGACTTGTAATTTGACTGAAAATGTTTTCTTCCTCCAATGTTTTCTGCTCGATGTCATAGCACTCATTCGAGATAATTGTAAGAGTTAACCTTCGGCCCAGGACTATCCAAAGATAGAGCGTATTATTTTCAAATGAGAATCAGTTTTGCGCCTATGGCTTACAACCACCCTTATGTCGGCCATTATTGAAAACCTAAATGCCGTACTTGATCTTGGCAGTAACAACTGCATGCCTTCGCGTCCATTAGAAACCTTTTTGAAGAGGTGCAAGACAAAAAATTGCCTCAAATATATTGACCTGAGACGGTCCTCTCGCAAGATTCTGGAATGCCTTCTCTTTGGATGGAGAGGAAGGTTTGGAGAAGTACCAACTTCCGAAGCAAATAACTTTTGCAAAGGTGATTTGAGCTTCGAAAAATTTTGAAAAACATCTTGGTTTTCAAAAGCAAGCCATTCGCATAACCATTTCTGTGATTCGTGTCAACTGAGTTTTTTTGTGATACATTTTTCGAGAGAATTCCCTCTCCTCCTCTGATTCGCCCCTTCCAACGCCCTGTTCTTTAGTTTTGATAATGGACATTAAGCTGCGAATCTGGATGCATATGAAGTCGAGATCATACGAAGCATGAAGGAAGCATAATAGATGCATAGCTTACGTTTGGAACTGCCAGCTTTGTGATGCGCTTTAACCGGTTTTTGTCCCTTTTTTGACGATTATGACGAATAGCTGCACCTGCGCGCTCGTTAGCAATAGAACGATTTATAAACTCCGTAAGTTTACTTCCAATAAACACATTCCCGGATGGATAACAGCTAGTTGCTAGATTACACCATGGTTGAGAACCAAATCGCATTAGAAAAAACTTGTTCCACAAATCGAAAAAAGCCCGCAAATGGAGCATTCACGTCTCGCTAACCAAAGCATGAACTTTGCTTTGAACAAACAGCTCAAGAAGTCCAGGTCAAGAACGGGTGTATGAATTGTGAGCGCTCCAAAGATGACAGTGAACTAGTTAACGCTTCTTACACCAAATACAACCCCGTTCAGATGCGCGAAGGTTTAACGTTCAGAGCAATAAATCTAAATTTAAAGCAACAAGAAGCTAACCTGAGGAGAAATGTTATGATCGTGTACTCTGATTAGGGTCCCTTTAGAATTCATATGGAGCATAAATCGCGACATATTCGACGGATGGCACCTAGGATAAGCTATAAGGGAAATATTGTAATTCCACTTTGACGCTCACCTTTGCAATTCGAGCGGTCTAGCTAAGTGATCCAGCCTCAGAATTGTCTTCACAGCTTTACCATTAGCTTTGGTAGTAACCTGAGCAAACAGTTCCTCATGCAGTACGGTACCACCATAAGAACGCTCACCTCCATCCATAACTCAAACAGATTCGTGTCCCTGCACGAAATCTTGAATTTACTAAGCACGGTCTCAATGACGGATCGTGTTGTGCTATGTGTCGAAACCCGAATAGTCTTGTAGTCAGTGCAGGCCTTCACATTATTTGTGTAGACTCTCAATGTTCCCTGAAGGACAGCAACGGGTTAGTGCCACTTCTGATTTGAATAATCTCAAGAAGTGGCAGCGAGCACACCAAGGCAAGACCTTGCAAATCTTCCCAAAGCAAATCTGCCTTGATCCGAAAATCCCCTTACCCAGTCGCTTTCGGAATTCGCGCTGTCCACCGAACTCAGCGACGCGAGCGAGCTGCTTCTGCTTGTCAGTGTAGCTTCATTGGTCGAAGAAGAAGGACTGCCATAGACTGAAGGGCAACTGCTGGCTCTCACTTGATACTTGAGCATTGTCTGGAAAAGATGTATTAGAGGGAGGGGGCAAGTACATTTTGATTCCGCTAATATAGGGACGCTTTAACGAAGAATGAGGAAAAAAGGTACAAAAAGGAGCTTCAGGTACAGTGGAAAGGACCGCTTTGCACATTCCGAGAATGACAAGTTACCAAGGAAGGATGGACATGACTTTGACAGTGAAGGAAAAAATTTTTTCTAAAAAATTTTCGGCGGTTGTCAGTAGGCAGATTGGTACTGAAAAAAAGACCAAAGAGAAGGATCAGGAATTTTTAGAAAACATATCTGTCCGCTGGCGAGTCAGATCAAAATGAAGCACTAAGCGTTCGTTTTTCAGAATTTTGGAGTATTTCTAATATTTGACAAGCGTAAAGGAGCCTTTCTGATTGCCTTTGCTTAATTTCACCATTTCATAGGTTTTTGGATTCAATAGACAAAAATTGGTACCTATAGCATACCAAATGATGCGACTTTTATAAATGCAAAAAAAAAACAAGAACGAAGTTTAGTCTTTCGATAGCAACTTTTCCAAGTGAAAAGCAATGATAGGATCAGTAAAAAGAACGAATTTTATAATCATAAATATTTGGGTAGTAGGACGGTGAATAACTTCCTTCAGATCAGAGCGTGGCACGAGAGTGGTCGCTATAAAACAAACTCAACAAAGCTATTCACATGCATATTGTCTCAGCAATGGATCAGTACAGTAAAAGGCTTGCGCCATACCAAGGGCCATTGGCAATAGCCCATTGCCCAGCCGAGTGAATGGGACTCGATGACAAGTGGCACTTTGTGAAGATCTAAGACGGATAATGCTGATCGCAGCGCAGAAAGGGATTGGATCAAGCGCGGCTCACCAATGATGGCAAAATGATCGGAAAATGATGTGAATTTCCGAACTTTCCGAAAACTTCCGAACGAACTGTTGCATAATCTAGAGAAGCACAAAAAATACTGATACCTTATCTTTAGACTTTGAGCTGGAGTTTTGCTAATGATATTTCGCAAATCCCTAATGCAAGAATGCTTAGCAAAGTATAACATTACATAATAACAAAGCAGTGAAGCAATTCATTTGACCACTACTATAAAAAACGTTTATGATTAACTCAGGAATATGGAGCCTTATAAACGGATCGTTAAACATAGTACGATAGCCAAAGGTTTTATGCAAAATTGTGCAGTAGTGGTGCATGATTGCGCTGGAAAGCCATAAAGGAAAGCATTCTAGTTATATATTAGGTTGGGAAAGTTCTGTCCCACCATTTTCAAAAAAATCATAACTTCTATCCAACACGATTTTTTTGCATGATCAAAACCATAATGAAAAGAGCAATTCATGCACTTTCTAAGAACTATGTTGGCTGCTATCTATTACACTTTGAGTGCAGCGATAAAATTGGGAAAAAAATCACTTCAAGTTCGAAATTTCTAAGCAAGCCGTTAAAACATCCAAAAGTGTGCCATAAAATCCAAAACAGGCAGCATCCTAGGTTTTTTGATCCCCTCTTTCCAGCTGAGCAACATTCCGCTGATCGAATTCTTTTGAAAGAAGTTATGATTTTCAAGAAAAAATGCCAAAAAATCAGTTTCTTAAAAAAATTGATTATTTGACATTTTTTCGAAAAAATCATAACTTTTCAAAAAACAGCTAAATCAGCGCGAACTTTGCTCGGTCAGAGAGAGGGGGTAAAATAGTCTAGGATACGCCTGTTTCGGATTTTACGGCACCGTTTTGGATTTTTTAACAGGCTTGCTCAAAAATTCCGAACTTGAAGTAATTTTCTTTTCCCATTTTTATCTCTGCATTCAAAACATACTAGATAGCATCCAATGTAGTTTTAGAAAGAGCATGAATTCCTCTTTTCAGTATGGTTTTAGCCATGCAAAAACATCACCTTAGGAGGAAGCTATGATTTTTTGAAATTGGTGGGACAGAACTTTCGGACCAACCTAATATAAAAAGAAAAGCAAGAAAATATGCAAAGAGACGTAATGCAGGCGAAATAGCTCAGCCTATAGTGATTTTCCTCCGAACTTCCTTGACTATTTCTACACAATGATGGGGTAGATGTACCATGAATTCTGGGAGATTTACTCATGTATCATGCTTCTTTTCTTACAAGCGAGCAATTTCCTCTTCATACATTACTCTAAACAAATTCAAGGTCAGGGCCCGGCGGGGGTGGCGCTTTCACAAGCTGGATATCGTTTTTGGCCCGAAAAAGCAAAGGGGAAGTCGTATTTTGGGGTCCGGGGCGGAGCCCCGGCGAAAATTGCTTGCCATATTCCTAAATTTTGACCATTTTTCACAGTTGTACTCATTTCGAATAGAACATTATATTGGAACTGCATTTTCATGAAAAATCAATGTAAAGCTTTTATTGCAAAAATAAGTATAATATTTCAGTGTCTCCATTCGAGCCTTGGGCGTCCAGGTGCTGGGATGTTGATGTTGTGGGAGGAGGGCGAGTGGCGGCGGCGACGTCGTTCCCGGAATGGTTTTTTCTGAGAAATTAAGGAAGGAAAATATGATAAATGTTTGTGGTGCAATTGAACAAATAATAAATGTAATTATTAGCGAAAGTAACCTGTTCGTTGTCATACTCGTCTCTTTGAAGGTCCACCTGAACTCCGAAATCCCTTCTCGGGTATAGGAGAGCAGGGGGAAGACGCGGCAGCATTATCCACACCTGCTCGATCGCCAAAACTGTAGACGTCCTCCCCTCTGGAGAGAAATCTAACAGGGGCGCCTATGGATATCAGCACCACACCTTTGCTGCTGTGGTGCTCATATAAAGTGTGCTGGGGGCAGCACACTTCATTGGAGCATGTGAATCGAAATGTGCTGGATATCTCCGCGCTGATGCGATACTCGCTGTGAATCGCAATATACGCCCCAGATGATCCATTGAAAGCGCCCGTGGCAATTTGGAAGAGCCGCCTACACCATAGCGAATGGGATCGCAGTCCCATTTGCTCTAGCGGCCTTTCCGAAACAAGCTCCAATAGGGTCACGAGCTTGTAAACGGCGGTAAATGGCCGTATGGTCGGCAAGATCTGGAATTTTTTTCGATGTTGTAGGAGCCATTGCTTCGACTGTCTCCGTGGGGGCGGTGGGATATCCTCAGCTAGCGATCTAAGAATGAACAGGAGTAGTTCAATCTTTTCCATGGTGATGCAGTTGCAGAAAGGTGACTGCGGATGCGGTAGACCGAGGTCCTTAAATGCTGTTTCAGGTCTTTTTTCAGTCTCTTGAACCAAGATTTATTACAAACATGTAACTAGTTGAAGGCAGACAAGTGGAGCATTTAAAGGCAAACTAATGCTGTGCAGCTCAGTCAACAACCTTTTGAACCAAGTTTTTTCCTCAATTATGTGAATAGTTGCAGACAAACAAATGCTGTTCCCTCTCAGTCAATAATTTCTTAAACCAAGTTTTTTCTCAACCATGTGAATAGTTGCATGCAGACAAATGGAGCATTTAAAGGCAAACTAATGCTGTGCAGCTCAGTCAACAACCTTTTGAGATGTGAATAGTTGCAGACAAACGAATGCTGTTCCCGCTCAGTCAATAATTTCTTGAACCAAGTTTTTTCTTAACCATGTGAATAGTTGAAGGCAGACAAATGGAGCATTCAAAGGCAAACTAATGCTGTGCAGCTCAGTCAACAACCTCTTGAACCAAGTTTTTTTTCTCAATTATGTGAATGGTTGCAGACAAACGAATGCTGTTCCCGCTCAGTCAATAATTTCTTGAACCAAGTTTTTTCTTAACCATGTGAATAGTTGCATGCAAATTGGTGTCAGTGATTGGAAGTTGGCTGACTTTTGCAAAGAAATTCTCTGACTTCATTACAAAAAATCTGTAGTTGAACTCCTGACGTTACTCTATAATCTGAACATGATACTGTTTGGTTACATTTGCAATATGTGCGTCTTTTTATAACGACATTTCAAAAATTTCAATGTGGAGTGCAGTGCAAACAAATTTCTTTGTTACTGTAGCAAATGTGGGAAAAAACAGCTGTTCGGGTAATGGCAGGCTGGGTTCTTCCTCATGCGTCGACGCATGAAGAAGGGACCCGTCATGCATTGCCAAGAAAAGCCCAAAAGCGCCCAAAAGCCCAAAAAAGCCCAGAAAAGTGCGGAAAAACCCGAAAGCGCCAGAAAGAGCCGGAACGCAGAATCGAACTTTCAGTATAATTCTGACATTATTTTGACGTGCAGACGGCAAAAAATGAACCAAAAAGACTCGGTTGCGAAACCTATATACAAGCATGCCTTAGCGCAAATGCTCGCGCAGAAAGGGGTGCAGCTCTTTCTGGCGCTTTTGGGCTTTTTTGGGCTTTTTTTGGCGAAGTTTGACGAGTCTCTAAAGCAAGGACGCCGGAATAAACTATCAAAGAAGTTTGTTAACATGTAGAATTTCGAATATCTTTTTATTATCTTATATATAAAGCTGAATGTCTGTTTGTCTGTCTGTCTGTATGTCTGTATATCTGTCTGTACGTATGTTCCGAATAGAAAATTCCATTTCTGAACCGATCGGGACCAAACTTGGCACACATACACTTTGGGCCCCGGCGGGTGTCATAGGCTACTTTTCGTCATCGATCGATATCGATTTTATCGATTTTTTGCAAAATTTGAGCTACGGGGCTGGGAGTTGGCACAGGGGGGTAATCGAGCATGCTGATTACGAATATAATAATGACAGGGCCGGGCGGAGCCGGGTTTGCCAGCTAGTTATATTATAGAGACATGGTCCAAATAGTGCTCTGAACTTAGGATACCATTACTTTTGAATTAGGAGAGAGAGAGAGAGTTGAGTAAGCAAAGTGGATTCCAGTGACCTTTTGGCTGTCGCAGGATTCTTCAACAAGACTGAAAGGGAAGAAAATACACATGGAAGATTCTGGCTTGAAGTGCTCAGACCGAGATCTTGAAGTCAAGGAGTGCTAGAAAGATTCCGCTTTACAAGTGGCCAGCATTTTCTCGCTTGCACTCGCTGTCAGCAGCTGAACCAGTTTCAGGAGAGGGCATTGATAGAAAAAGTGATTTGCAAGGGTTCCATTATTATAAAGAACAGTGAGATTGCGACTGAGCATGAGAATTCTATGGAAACAAATACAAATGTAGCTATATATATGAATGACACGGTTCTTCTACGCGTATTACGCGTAAGGTTTTGCGAAACATGCACGATTGCAAATGAAATTTGTAAACATGCTGCGAGAAGTACACATCAGAGCGAGTTTCTCACATCACATAGGAAAAAGATTATTGAAATAAACAGTTTTTTCATTTAGTGAACCTCACAAACCAGAAGAAGCACGGATTTGACTATCAAATAGAAAGCATCCATAAGCGGCCTTGTTGAACGAGATCCCAAAAGTTTCATTGTTTCTTTCTTAAACTAGAATTTCGTTCTAAACATTCATAAATTTCGCTGCTCTTTTTTATGTGACTCGTCGCAGGATCAAAAATATATTCGTTGAATATATAGTGCTGCCCCTGCATCGTCATAATATTCTCAAATAACCTTACGGCCAGTTTTATACGCCTATAAAGCTTGAATGGATAAATCAAATCGCATCAGGATGGACGTTCCACAAAGCGAAAAAAACTGAGTCGGAGTGCCCACGCTTTAAGCCGATTCAATAAAAAGTTTTGTTTGCAAATTAGCAGTCCGAGATGTAAAGGTCAAAAGATGTATATGTTACATTTTCTCCACATCAAAAACATAAACTTATTTACATGAGGTTCACCTCTATCTGAAAACTAAGAAAAGTCTAGGCTTTGAAACCTTAAGTTGTCATGTCTCTATCACAGATCTGCCGTGTTTTAGGTTACAAAATTTGTGACGGTCACCAAATGTTCGGAATGTAAACACATAACCCTTTGACAAACTTATCGCCCGCTCTCAATACTTTGTATACTAATTAAAAAAACCAAGCAAGCACAGGGTATCCCAAAATAAGCGCTGTTCCAATTATGTTTACGAACTTGTTTCGTCTACGTTGAGGTAACAAAAGTTCTGGCTTTTGCTTTGCTGCGAGTAATACCCATTGCTGTCAAGTCGAGCGCACATATAAAATAAAAAATGCCTCGTAGAATGGTAATAAATTTGAGAGCGCAACGTTTGTTCCCCCCCCCCCCCCCCCTCCCCACTCCCTTGCATGTTTGCAAATGCGTTTCTGACCACCATAGTATTCCGCAGCGACAAGTAGAGGATGCAAAAAAAAACAAAAACTGAAAGTTCTCTTAGCTTGAGTGACACTGGCTGACTTATCCTCATTTTTATCATTTGGTGTAGCTTGAAGTGCTGCTAGCTAACCAAATAAAAAAAGCAAAAGCAGCCTTCCCAAATCTCATACGCTTTTGCGAAGTTTGAGTCTTCGTTAAAGAGGCACCTTGTGCTACCTCCCATGAAATGAACACATTCTTCAATGCATGTGGAACAAAGAGCGACTATATTTTCTGACATGGGTAGCACCCTCAGAAAATTTTTGTGCTGTAGATTGTTCCTCGCTGCTCAAATGAATACTCCGGCCTGGTATGAATGGGTGTGTAAGGAAACTTCGCTGTACAACAACAGATTTTGAAAACAACAAATTTTAACAACGACAACAATATCAAATTTTATTCTCACATATATGGGATTTCCCGGGGTTTCACCGTAGGACACATCTGCTCTCGAATGGATTATCTCACCATTTCATGTCACTGCTTTATGATGTGTAAAACAGAAGAGCTTTTTGTTCGCCAACTTGATGTGAATTGTCCATGTGTGTTCAGCGCTACTTCCATCTATAAATTATTTTCACAAATGATGAATATCTCATCGTCAGACCCGCATCGTTGCCTTGTAGGTGGCTCACTTTTGTACTTTATACTGTGCTTACTGCTTATCTTTTGCTAAAATCTCCCTTTGGAAATTGACTGCGCATCACCTCTCATAGCCACGATTCGCTTACCTGTCACAGCAGTGGGAAAATTTTCATCTACCTTTGTGTCGGCATCCTTTGATTAGATGTAACCCAAGGTCTTTTCCAGCTGAGCAAGAAAACATCTGTCGAGGAATGTGAATGTGCTGCGGTGCAGAAATCGAGTGATTCAAACAAAGTAAAAGACATGATATAATTCATGAGTACTACTGGTCTCACGATCCGGCAGTTAGTCTTCCATGAGATTTCGCTTTAGAAGTACAATGCAAATGGGTCAGGAACTATGACTATGAGGGATGAACATCCTTGTCGTGGAAAAAAGGCTTATTGAACACGCTCTAGCCTTCCTCAAACCACAAGAAGTTGCGAAGAAATCCTCTTGTGCTACTAATCAAAGGATTAGGAAAGGGAAAAACCCAAATGGAATTTAGTGGGCCAAGACTTCCAGAAATCTGCTCTCGAAGGTTAAGGTGACCTACACTACTACAAAAAAAAACTTGAAGATGAGTTCTGTTGCACTTTCGAGGAAAATTTAGCAAATCCACAAATTGCCTAAGACAATTTGGAAAGATTGCTGATGATTGCTGAGAAAAACAAATATGAATCGGTGCCAGCTGTTTACATAAAAGGCCACTTTGCATGATTCTAGTCATAATCTATCCTTAGGTTTTCTTGGCATTCCTCAGTGATTGCCATTTCGAAGTTGTCCAAATAAGGCGTAGAATAAACGACTGACAGACAAACATTAGAAATGTGTTCATGCACTACAACCAGGGCTCGGCAGAGGTGGCTTTAAGCGAGCTGAATATCGTTCCTGGGACAAAAAGCAAAAGGATATAGTTTTTGTGCGCCCGAAATTATGTTTTTGTCAGTACAAACACTTCCAAAATAGAGTTTCTTATTAGCAACTAGCTGGCTTACCCGGCTCCGCCGTATGTTCCAAATAGAAAATTCCAATTCTCAACCGATCCGATCCAAACTTGGCACACATACATTTCGGGCCCCGGCGGGTGTCACAGTCCACTTTTCGTTATCGATTGATGCCGATTTTATCGATTTTTTGCAAAATTTGAGCTACGGGGCTGGGAGTTGGTACAGGGGGGTAAGTGAGCATGGGGATTCCGAATACAATATTAGTTTTTAAAATCGTGCATTACTTTTATCGATTTTATCGATTTTTTTGCAAAGTTTGAGCTACGGGGCTGGAATTTGGCAGGGGGTGTAATCGGGCATGCTGATCACCCCCACGGGGATGATCAGCATGCTCGATTACACCCCCTGCCATGCTCGATTACCCCCCTGTGCCAACTCCCAGCCCTGTAGCTCAAATTTTGCAAAAAATCGATAAAATCGATATCGATCGATGACGAAAAGTAGCCTATGGCACCCGCCGGGGCCCGTAGTGTATGTGTGCCAAGTTTGGTCCGAATCGGTTCAGAAATGGGATTTTCTATTCGGAACATACGTACACACAGACAGACATACAGACAGACATACATACAAACAGACGTTCAGCTTTATATATAAGATAATTCAAAAACCTTATCAACTTCACAGGAAAATCTGCATATACAATCCGAACGAATGACGACAATTGGCGAACGCGGAGTGATCTTCGACAAGAATTAATGTAGGTTTTTCCGTTGTCGGAATTTGTCTCATGCCAGTAGTACATGAAATCATGCGACGTGAGCATCTGCGACGTCTTCGTGATTATCCCAAGGTAAGAGCAATGCCAGCGAATCCCAAGAGAAGTTCGTAAAAACTCAAAGCGTGTCGACTTGCCGAATAACAATCTTATGATACGGCTGACACATGAGAGCGATTGGCACAAGTGGCACCTAAACGAGATTAATTGAATATTTCTTTTATACATCAAATAACAGTTGCTGACCTCAGATGGAATCTGTGCTTCGCCTTCAGGTGCTGTGAGAAACAGTGCGTAGTCTCCATCTGGCTCCTTTCTGTTCATACACAACAGAATGTCTACTACTTCACGGCATGTGGTGTCTTCGGCCAGTAACAACGACTTGTAGTTCGACTGAAAATGTTTTCTTCCTCCGCTGTTTTCTGCTCGATGTTTTCACAGCACTCATTCGAGATAATCGCTCAGAGTTAACCTTCGACTCGGATTACCCAGAGATCCGAGCGTAGTATTTCCAAATGAGAACCAGTTTCGCGCTTATGGCTCACAACCACCCTTACGTCGGCCATTATTGAAACCTTAAATGTGCCGTATTTGATCTTGGCAGTAATGACTGCATGCCTTCGCGTCACACTACCTCACATTGCAGTTTTTAATGATCAATGGTAACCTCAGAAACCTTCTTGAAGAGATGCAAGAGATGCAATAATCCTCAAATATATCGACTTAAGACAGTCCTCCCACGAGAATTTGGAATGCCTTCTCTTTAGATAGAGGTGGAAGTTTGGAGAAGTACCAACTTCCGAAGCTAACTTTTGCAAAAGTAATTTGGGCCCTGAGAAATTTCAAAAATCATCTGGTTTTAGAAGAGCGAACCATTTGCACAACTTCGTAATTCGTGTAGATGAGTTTTTGTGATACATTGCTCGAGGAATCCCTCAGTCCCTCCCCCTTCCCCTTTCAAGGCCCTCTTTCCTCCTTTTCTTTAGCTTTACTGGGCATGGAGCTGCGAATCTGGATGTATATTACGCCGAGATCATAAGAAGCGTGAAACGAAAAGTAATATATGCATAGTTTAGGTTTGGAAATGCCAGCTTTGTGATGCGCTTTATCCGGTTTTTGTCTCTTTTTTGACGAATATTGACGAATAGCTGCACCTGCGCGCTCGTTAGCAAAAGAACGATTTATAAACTCCGTAAGTTTACTTCCAATAAACACATTCCCGGATGGATAACAGCTAGTTGCTAGCCTACACCATGGTTGAAACCATATCGCATTAGAATAAACTTGTTCCATAAACCGAAAAAAAGCCCGCAAATGGAGCATTCACGTCTCGCTAACCAAAGCATGAACTTTGCCTTGAACAAACAGCTCAAGAAGTCCAGGGTAAGAAGGGGAGTATGAATTGTGAGCGCACCAAAGATGACAGCGAACTAGTTAATGCTTCTTACAAATTCAAATGCAACCCCGTTCAGATGCGCGAAGGTTTAACGTTCAGAGCAAAAAATCTAAATTCAAAGCAGCAAGGAACTAACCTGAGGAGAAATGCTATGATCGTGTACTCTGACGAGGGTCCCTTCGGAATTCATATGGAGCATAAATCGCGACATATTCGACGGATGGCATCTAGGATGAGCTATAAAGAAAACTGATAAGATTCTACTTCGACACTAACCTTTGCAATTCGAGCGGTTTAGCTAAGTGATCCAGCCTCAGGATTGTCTTTACAGCTTTACCATTAGCTTTCGTGGTAACCTGAGCAAACAACTATTCACCATGCAGTACGGTACCGCAATTAGAACGCTTACCTCCATCCATAACTCAAACAGGTTCGTGTCCCTGCAGGAGATCTTGAATTTATTGAGCACGGTCTCGATCACGGACCGCGTTGTGCTCTGGGTAGAGACTCGAATCGTCTTGTAGTCAGTGCACGCCTTCACATTATTTGTGTACACTCTCAGTGTTCCCTGAAGGAGAGCGACGGGTTAGGGTCACTTCTAATTTGAAATTCTCAAGAAGTGGCAGGCGAGCGCACCAAGGCAAGATCGTGCAAATCTTCCCGTCTGCCTTAATCCGAAAATCTCCTTACCCAGTCACTTTCGGAATTCGCGCTGTCCACCGAACTCAACGACGCCAGCGAGCTGCTTCTGCTTGTCAGTGTAGTTTCGTCTTTCGACGAAGAAGGACTGCCATAGACTGATAGACGAGTACTGGTTCTCACTTGATACTTGAGCATTGTCTGCAAAAGATGCATTAGAAGGGAGAGTCGAGTTCGTTTTGATTCCGCTAATTATGGACGCATTGACGGAGAATGAAGAAAAGTTACAAGAAGGACTTTCAAGTACAGTGGAAAGAACCGCTTTTTGCATATTCTGAGGATGACAAGATGCCGAGGGAAAATGGATATAACGCTGACAGCAAAGTAAAAATTTTCCCAGAGATTCTTCGGCGATAAATCATTAGAATAATTGAATATCAGCCAAGTGATAAGAAAAACTGTTTTTGACACCAAAGAAGAAAGTTGAGTCGTCAGCAGGCAGGTTGATACTTTCAAAAAAAAACCAAAGAGAAGCTTCAGGAAATTGTAGAAAACAGATCTGTTGTGTATGAAGGCGATCTATAGTCAGCTGACGAGCCTGATCAAACTAAAGCATTAATAGTTCGTTTTTCCAAATTTCTAAGTAATAGTATTCTATAGAGCGTAAGTGAGCACTTATGATTTCTCCCTTAGGTTATTTTCGAAATTTTATGAATAAATATTTGATTTTATGAACCCAACTTGTACCTTAGCTTTAAATGATGCGACTTCTAGAAATTAAAAGAATACAAGAAAAGTGCCATTTCGACTCAAGTTTTGCACGTGGAAAGCAATGTACAAGACCAAAAAAAACGAATTCTACAAATCTTATGATTATTTGAGTGAGTAGGAAGCGCATAAGTCTTCCTCAGATCAGAGCGTGACATGAGAATGAGTCGCTACTAAACAACTCAGCAAAGCTATTCACATGCATATTGTCTCAGCAAAGGATCAGTATAGTGAAAGGCTCGCGCTATGCCAAGGGCCATTGCCCAGCCGATTGAAAGGGACTCGATGACAAGTGGTTACTTTGTGAAGATCTTAGACGGATAAGGGCTAACCGCAGCGCGGAAAGGAATCGGATCAGGCGTGGCTCATAATGGCAAAACGATCCGAGAGTGATGTGAATTTCCGCACTGTTTGAAATCTATAGAAGCATGAAAAAATACTAGTATCTTACCGTTCGACTTTGAGATGGAATTTTGGAGACTAATGGATATTTTGCAGGTAGATGCAAGAATGCTTGATTATAACAAAAACATAATAATAAAGCTGGAATACAATTCACTTGACTACTACAAAAAAGTGCTCATAAAGCCATATAAATGGATCAATAAACATACTAGAACGATAGCCAAAAGTTTAGAATAAAACTGTGCAATATTGGTGCTGGCTATGAGGGGCGCGTCGGAAAGCAGTAAGGGAAGGCATTTTTATTACTTGAATTGTAAGAATTACAAAAGAAAGAAAACATGCAAATAGACGTGATGTAGGCAAAATGGCTCAACGTATAGCGATTTCCTATTAAACCCCCTTGCTTTCTGCCACAAAAAACTCGCTAAATGGCTTGAGACCAAATGACATGATTTGATGTGGCGCGATCGAGAGGGCGGGACAACCGGGTGGGCGGTTCGCGGGAAGATTAGGAAATGTTGACACCAGCACTCGAGATCAGTAGATTACGAACTCGTTCTTTTTGGGATGGGGTAGATGTACTATGAAATTCTGGGAGATTTACTCATGTATCACGCTTTTTTTTCTTGCAAGTGAGCAACTTCCCTCTTCCTACATTCCTTCAAACAAATCAAAGGTGCGCTTGAAGTACTGCCAATTACGGCGACGTTGCAATTTACAATTCTCGCGTCGCTGTAAGTGTACAAGGAAACAGAGAAAACTTGAAATTGTTTTTGTTGGAGAAGCGCAGTGTTTGTGTTCTTCGCAGTGTTTTGCATTTACTTAAGCGCATGAATACCAGGCTAAAAACTAAACGAGCTGCTAAAATTAGCCATGGGCATAGATCAGTGGCAAACAGTAATAGCAGCTATGCAAACATTGTCACAACTTTAATTCCCGCCGAACTGGCTGATTTAACGCAAAAACCAACTGCGCGGTAAAACTATCAGTTATTGTGCCTCACTTTCCTCAAGTTATACGTCTCCTAATTTTCGATGCAAAACGCTTTATCAAGCAAGGAAAACATATCGAAGGAGAACTCGGTACTTCAAAGAACAACCCGGGATATGCTGAAGCACAATACATCGAATGTGACAGGGCTAAGTGTGAATCTCACATAAAATGCAATAGACATATGAGTACGAAAAATCAATCTGATAATTCACTTTTAGCTACGGTCTAGAACCTCGGATACCCCACAAACGCAGTTTGACGAGCAACATAGGACACAAATCATAGTAATTTCACACCTAAGAAGTGATGATATAGTACTAAGGTGCTTAAGTAGTGAAAAAAGGACTGCTATTTTGCAAGTAACAAGCAACAGAGAGCTTTGGAGCAAAGCACATCCAATTTTTTCATTGAAGAACTGGCTGAAAAATGCTAGTTTTCGAAAGTGTAGGCATTCCCAACTTCTTTAGAACTAAAGCGTATGACTTGTAAGTTCGTATACAGATATAGAACATAGTCTCCGCTTTGAATGGTGGTGGATGGGAGAAGTGTGCGAAAAAAAACGAAATTAAAAAAAGATTTTGTTATGGTGAGTGAACATTGATTATTAAAATAGTTTCTACGGACAGAACACGAGGAATGCTGAAGACATCACAGAGTTGGAAGCACTCAAGACTGCGCATCCCTTCTCACCACAGGGCCTTTAGTCTCTCTTAACAGCTTATGAAAGCAATGTAGATGAAGCAGCTCGCTCGAGGATTTAGAGCAAAGCATTTGAAAATTTTTTAAAACCCATTTTCCGCTTCTTACTCGGTTGTTATTGTGAAATCGTCTATTTCGCACCGGAAAAATAATGCATTACATTGCGAAGCGCATAAATTGCAATAAAAAGACATTTTTTTGACGACGCCATCGCTTATCTCCACGTTTTCTGACAGCTGAATCTGATTGGGACCTTAACGTTCTAATGTAGTTGTTATTCCAGAATAGTGAATGTGTAGTAAACCTCAAAACTTGCTCTTGAAGTCTTGACAAATATGCATTATTAACAAAAAATAGGAGCAAAATTTGATTGTTTTGCTTTATTGGTAGTCCTAAATGATCCAAAGGCATAATATAATTGAAACAGTGTATATTAGCCAGTCACAACCCCAAACCACTTGTAACAGTTGTAAATCTCTGTTGTTACCTCCAGCATGGGAACTAATGCAGGTGTGATAGCAGTCTATAAACGGAGAAGAAAGTCGGGATGTTTAGAGCTCAGATTTTGAACTTGTTCAAAGGGATTCGTTGCTCTACCTCAACGGTGAGCAATCTTCGAGAATTGCTAGCACACGCTTATTTCGCTATTTTTCACTAAACCACTAGATAGATCCTAGTATACAATTCCGGCAGAAAAGACCCAAACCCTACGATACCCAAACCCTGTATTCTGTGCAAACATCCTCGCTAAGCAAGAAAAACTCTTCTTTGCAAATTAGTGCCAGTGAAGGGAAGTTGGCTGACTTTTGCAAAGAAATTCTAATTCACTAGAAAAATCCCGGTAAACTATTTCTGGCAGAAAAGACACGGATGCTGTGATAAGCGTGTAGTCTAGACAAACGTCAATGCTGCTATGCAAGAGAAAGATTTTTTCTGCAAATTGAAAGGGAAGTTGGCTACTTTTGCGAAACCATTTTCGGACTTCGTTACTAAAAATGTATAGATGAACTCATGGCGCTACTCTAAACATGATACTAGTTTGGTTACATTCACAATACGTACGTACTAATACGTATTGCGTCTTTTTATAACGACACTTTAAGAATTTCAATGAGGAGTGCAGTGCAAACAAAGCGTTTTGTTTGTTACTGTGTCAAATGTGGAGAAAACCAGCTGCTCGCGTAATGGCGGTCTGAGGGGTGTATGTCGAGATGAACGATAGCTGTAAATAAGCACATAGCACACAATAATACTATACTTCTGCGGTTTTCAATATACTACGCATAAAGTCGTGTTTTTTAAAGCGAATTGTTCAGTGGCTAGAAAATGGTGTCAAACAGTGAGAATCAGGGCATGCCGAAATCACACATTTTTTTCAAATTTTTAATATCATCATAGCGTAGACAGCATCTATAATGTAGAATCTGGAAAGGATTTGACATTCGACCTACGCAACGCATATGACTGGCACAACCTATCGTACATGTTGGCTTCCTTCCCCTGGGTTCTTCTCATGCGCCGACGCATGAATAAAAGTGATGGCAAAGACGCCGGAATAAACTAGCAAAGAGGTTTGTTGATTGCAGAGTTTTGAATATCGTTATTAACAACCTGGAGGATAACTTCTGTTACATTTTTTTCGTGAAATTCTGAGAAGTTTCAGAAGTTCTCTAGAATCTTCAGAGTTGCTCCATATATAGGCCACGGCAGGTCATTTATAATAGTATGACTAATGCCGCAAATCAGTGACCTTTTGGCTGTTGCAGGATTCTCCAACAAGATTGAAAGTGAGGGAAATAAATATGGAGAATTCTGGCTCAGAGTGCTCAAACCAAGATGTTGATGTCAAGGAGTGCTAGAGGGATTCCGCTTTACAAGTGGCCAGCATTTTCTCGCTTGCACTCGCTGTCAGCAGCTGAACCAGTTTCAGGAGAGGACACTGATAGAAAAACTCATTTGCAGGGAGATAATTATTGTGAAGAAGAGTGAGGTTGTGACTGAGCATGAGAATGTTGTGGAAACAAATGCATAGCTACATTTTAGGTTGTCCCGAAAGTTTTGTCGAATTTTTCATCGCTCAATAAAACTCACGAACACCAATCCATGGACGACTTATTGTTATGTACCGTTCGATCCAGAGTTTTATCCTCTTTCTTATAGCTCTATTTGACCTCTAATCAACCCTGTCTTTGGAATGTTATCGCCATGGCTTTTTGAGCACCTTAACAGTAACGCCAAATTTTACATTCTGAAAATTTTATCTTGAGTTTTTCGAAGAGCTCTGGCTACTACCATGCAGAGCAAACCTTTCACTATATTACATCCATTTTAGCTTACA